TTGCCTGCCATTAGATCACCAAAAAGATGTCCTCTGCACTCCAAAATTTTGATATCACCTACAGTCAATCATATAATAAATCACACCACTATTTGTGTGCAACACCTGCATGGTCTGATGTAGTTCCAACTGATGCTGATGGCTGAAAAAGATTAGATTGCTGAAGATAATTAGAGAATGACATTACAACTAATCAAGAGTTCTAAAGAAATTATGAAAGAAAAGTGAACAAACCAGACGACGAGATGAGAAAGAACTCCTGCCAATGACTTGCAAATATTCCTCATATGTCTGTATCAACAAAGGAAGAAGACTTTGTGAAAATAAATATTATTTCGAGGAAGCACTAATAAGTTTTGTTGTCTGGGAACAATCAAATATGAAAAACTAAAATCAGAATGCAGAATATTATTTTCCTCCAGCTTAGATTCCATCGTTGACAATAAGCATATTTGCATGGAGTGCAGAGACTTGTTGAATATATCACCACACTGATTAGTCGCGCAAATCAGTGTCGCGCAAGCAGCACATCCTACTGCTGAGTGTCCTTCACGACAATTGAGAACAAGAAAATAGTTCACAACCCCAAGAGAAGTGTAGTGCAGGCTATGCATAAAAGAGAACTGCTTAGAGAATAAAAAATGACAAGTTTTCTCAAGAAGAAGAAAGAAAGAAAAAGAAAAAGAAAAAGAAAAAGAAAAGACGGCCTTCTTCTACTCGGGTTTATTGTATCTAACAGTGAGATGGGTTTACTTGGTAGGGAATGGGAGGTGGGATCCACATACCCGGGGTTTACTTGGTAGCGGTGAGGTATTGAACTCAGGCTTCAGCCTTGGGATCCTCGTGTCTTGCCAAGGTTTTCCCCGTATTCCCAAAAAAAAAAAAGAAGCACACACACAGTAACATGGGCTGGATTGTATTATGATACGGTATTGCCTGACAATGTTTAAGATAAGATAAAAACTAACACTTTTCCCTAAGTGATACAGTATGATGAAAATTTATGAGGGATTGGAACTCACACAAATAAGGAATACCCGAGCCAACAGCAGAATGCCTGGTAGAACCAAAATCCAGCCCCTCGCATACTTTGTTGATCTATAACATGTAAATCCTTCATCAAAGAAGGATCTCTGATAACTTAGATCCAAATACTACCCAAATCTAACCTCCGCAACTCACATTAATTATAGCCTCAACAAAATTCAATTCCCTCAATGTAACACAAGACAAATATTGGTATTAAATTTAATTTTATCACCCACATTGTGTACAATTTAAATAAAACTGTACTTATCAATATGTAATAAATATATTTCAGTAAATATTCTCATCTCACAAAGCTACAACAGTAATCTATAATCAAAACAAATAAAGAATTACGGACTTTCTAGATTTTATCTATGAAAAATTATTGTTGGGGTCTGTCTAACCATGTAATATGGCTCCCTCATAGTAGATGAACCTTACACAGGCCATGCGATAGATGAATGCAAGTACCAGAATTTCAATTGTGCACAATCAAGCTCACCTACTTTCTCATAGATGTCATACCCATGTCAGGCAAGTATGAGACAAATACTTTGTTATAAGTGGGCAAACGCACCTTTCAAGGGTGCAAAGTGTCTGCAAAATACGGGTAAAAACTTAGGCCCCTGAAGCATCACTATTTTGTATAAATAAGTTAAAATTTCTTGCATCTTGATTTATGTTGTATGTTTTATTCTCTAAGATGGAGACAAACAAATTTTAAAAACTTACTAGCGTAATGTTAAATTGCCTTTGGCATATCCTTATGATATTCATGTCGAAGCTTCTAATGTTAAAAAATCATCATGTCTGTATTTTAGTGACATATCTGTATCTGTACAACAACTTGGACTTGTGTGTTCTCGTTGGGCTGATCACATTACTTCCGGTTGACCTGTTTCACTTGTTTCCTATTATGCTAGCTTATGTAAATCTGTTGATTTGTCATTGAAGTTGTGGTCTTAAGCAAATCTGGTATTTGTGACAGAGAAAAGTTGCATGATTACTAGAACAAAGGATACATGAGTAGATAACATCTATAGACGCAGCCATGCATACATAATCATATGCATGCATAAATCTGCATACATATGCACACGCCTATGTATGTACATACATATGTTACAAGGTGTAGCTTCTGGTGTTGCACGTAAGACACAGCTATCAAGTGTTCGTGTATCCTGAAGTGCCTGGCATAGGAACTTATCCACATGGTAATGACATTTCAAACATGCACAAGCAATTGTATATAACCATTCATATACAAATAATAAACGAAAACATATTGGGTCAGGAGCATAAAACAACCTTAAGACCTGTAGGGTTTCGAAAAAAAATGATTGATTCCTTTAACTGTATTAGCTTTGGAAAAAGGACTCTATCGCTTGGTAAGAGTCTCATTACAACCACGATTAATTACAGAAGAGGAGAAGATTGGTTCGACTTCTCCTTTGTTTAACGTGGGCTGTGGGTGGCGAAAGGATGCCTCACTTGATGCTTGAGTCGAGCTTGCTTCTCGTTGACGATCAGAACAAGATCTCTGTCGGGGTGCTTAAGTTGCTGCCGGTGACTGCTATCGGTCTTAGACGGTTGCTCATCTGACTTTAGATCTCAAGAACCGAGGTTCAGATCTGAAAAGAGTGTCTTACAATTTGAGTTCTAGCTCTCGTGTGTGTCTCTTGCGCGTGCGCAGTCCAAAGTTAGCATTTTTCATAGCTGCTCATGGCTATTTATAGGCCTTAGGACGTAACTGATGCGCTAAAATCGTGAGGTCATAGCGTAACTAATTCCCTGGATTTAGCCCACGTGGGCTGACTGAGTCTTCAAAACTGTTACAGTCGAGCTTCAATTGGCGGGACGAGCCTCGCTGCTTGGCGAGGTTCGTCTAATAAGATGAGTCTTGATGCGCAGCGAGGTTCGTCTGTCAAAACAAGCTCTGCTATGAGGCAAGCTTTGTCCTTTGAAGAAGCTTCATCTTCACTGACGAGCTTCGTCCTTCGATAGCCAAGTCCAGCTACGTAGCAAGCCTTATGAACTTCTTCTGACGAACCTCGTCTTCACTGACGAGCTTCGTCTTCGAGCTTTGTTCTCTAAGAGATAAGACAAGGTTTGCTAAGGTCCGTCTGCGGATGGACTTCGTCTTCTAGAAGGTTTTCGTCTTGATGGACGAGATTCGTCTGTCAAATGAAGTTCGCTTGTCTGATAAGGCTTGTATCATTCATTAGGCGAAGCTCGTTCTTTAGCCAAAATTCAACCTATCTGACTTGTTTGGGCTAACCCTATTGTTTTGTCCCTTGCAATTTTGCACTCTTCTGCTCTAATCCCTCCGTGTGGTGACATCGGATCGGACAACATTCAGACAGAAACATAATATCCTCATTATCCTATGCTCGAGTCTCCCTGTATTCCACGACCAAAGTCGGGAAGAGTTTCACATACTCTCTGAGCCTTCAAATGCCAAGGCGTTTGATCACGGACACCTCTTTGAAAACAGCTGATCGAAGACGTATTCGGTGACTCTATAGAAGACCCCAATGTGTTAGATCTTAGGGAATATCGATACTTGCTTATTGTAAGAGACCATAGCAATTTTGACTTCTTTCGGTGTTTTCCTCATTTTTCTGGGACTAGTTATGGCCAAATTGTAGCGGATGAGTCGTACGACCAGGGCTATACTGCTTTATCAATTGGTTACTTTAGGTGGCTCATGAATATACGTCCCGGGTACCTGATCTGCCACTTTGGCCCAGTGTGCCAGTTAGAGCCCTATCTGCCTTGCTGTTTTGCTCGTTAATTCGGTTATGACCAGTTATACGTTAGCAACCCCAACACGTACTTGCAATCCGAATGTGGTCTAATCGACAGAGCGAGAGATTTGTTTTGGACAATTGCCGGAGGTATAGGCACCCGCTTCTCACTTCTGCACCAGAATCGCCAACTTTGAATGATACTTGCTTATTGTAAGTGGCATTGTACTACCAATGTGGCGATTCCAGACTTCAACGTCAACTCTTCGGGATTACGCCTCACTCGACATCGTTTCAAATCCGGTGATGCTTCAAAGAGGAGTCGTATGCCGGGTCTTAAGGAGTTTCAGCATATAGAAGAGGCTGTAAGAGATGAAGAGGCTCAAACTTCGAGCCCTCATGAGACTGATCAAGAAGTTCTCGAAGCACTTCACGAGAGTATACTCCCGAGGTCTCCTCGTTTTTAAGAGTACGGGAGTCATATGCCCGTTGAGTCCATCCAAACTTTGTAATAATATATATCAGTATCAGTAGTCAACTATTAAGAACATTAGTCGACTACTCTGTAAACACACAGTTTTTGTTATACTCAACTGGGCACGAGTAGCCGACTACTAAGCTTAGTAGTTGACTACTCTGTCAAGACACACATTCTTTCGTGCACAAACAGTGCTTATGTCAATTGTACATATCATGACGTTAAAACAAGATCTTATACTTGACATATGCAACAGGAATTATCTGAATCATCAAATTAAATTATTATATCTTTTAAATTAGGGTTTAACATCCTAATTAAATAATTTCTTAATTATCTCATATGTAAACAAAATGATTATCAACACATGATAAAAACTACTCATGAACAAAGGTAAAATTTATTTAAACATGTTTATCTTACTTAGGTATCACAAAGTTAGAGTTTAAGCATGATTAATTAACATGAAAACTCAAAGAAACTTTCACGAAATATATTAATTATTTCAAATCAGCATATTTGCAGTTTTCTGCAGAACATATCATTAGTAAATTCAGCATATTTTTCTCTGAACAAACTCTTTTTAAGAATAGTTTTCTGTTTTGGAAACTAGATCCACATAGCTATCATTTGACACTGATTTGGTTCAGTTTGGAGTTTATATGATATCTTAAATTTTCAGTTAAATGTTATACACGTGCAGCAGTTTTCTGCAGAACATGTTATTAGTAAATTGAGTATATCTTTCTTTATAAAAACTCTTTCTTAGAATGGTTTTCCGTTTTGGGAAATAAGTTCACATAGCTTTCATTTGACACTGGTTTTGTTTAGTTTGGAGTTTATATGATATCTTAAATTTTTCAGTTAAATGTTATACATATGCAGCAGTTTTCTGCAATCTATGATGAAAACAAAAACTAAACCTCTTTATAATTCAATTAGACAACAAAGTTTTCTGCAATCTATGATGAAAACAAAAACTAAACCTCTTTATAATTCAATTAGACAACAAATTAGGGTTAACACACGAGTTAAACATAATTATCAAGTTTTAAAAAATAAAAATTTAATCACCCCTAACGATCATGATCACATTACTATCATAATCAATTAGGAAAAGCTAATGATCTAACATTGTGTTAAAATTTATCATCAAAAATCTCATATTTATCATATTAGGTTAAGCCTTAGCATGAAAACATTGATTAAACACTTTTATAATCATTAAACACTATGGGGATGGATTTGGATGCAGATGATCTTGCCTTATCACGTGTGCAAGCCTCTGAAACTGATGTGAAACGACTCCTCATGGCTAAACGTCATAGATCTTGTCTTTTCCTCGCTTCTCATCTCACAAGACGCTCTCAAAATCTCAACTTTAGGGCTAGGGTTTGAGATAGAAGTAGAGAGGCTGCTAGGGTTTGAATCTCTGATGAAAAGATGATAATTTTCGTGAAAACACATGTATATATATATATATATATATATATATATATATGCAAACCCGAAATAAACCCGTTTGACCCAAACTAGAAAACTTAGTCTGGTTAGGAAAATAACCTTCAGTATTTTGGTTATAACTTTCTCATCTGACCTCGGAATGAGGTGATTTAAGATTTGTTGGAAAGCTGTTGAAGAGTCCTACAACTTTGGTCTTTTGAGTTTTTTCAGATTTAAACTGCATCGGTGTGTAAAATATATAAACTCTTAACTGATCATTTTTTCAGATTTCTCTTCGTGCATGTTTTATGCATTTGCACTCATATTTTCACAAATATACATTGAATTGATCTCAAATCAATTCCTATCATACTCAAATATCAAAATATGTTATATTTTCA